TACACTCAATAAAATGTTTAGATTCAGAAATTCAATCATGGAATGGAATACAGAAATCCTGTGGTAACCTCAAATTACAGCTCAATCTGCCAGTCTTTTCACAGACAAGATCATTATTACCATTTCCTTCCAACATCAACCAAAATCAACTCTCTAGAGTGATGGATATGACAATAATAATAAACACATTTGAAGATTGAAATAAAGTAAGAAAATACTAGGAAAACACACAAGGTCACATTTAGGCTAGAACACAGACCACTAGCGGCTAGAACAGGGTTGGGCTACTGCATAACCTTAAAGATGAAATATATTTTTCACTTTCAGGAAAAATGCGTTCCACAATACAATTCACCTTTCTCTACTGAGTAGGCAAAAACTTTGATCTAACTGGGCTGTTTTATAATAACTTTAAACATATAATCACCTGATTTTAAGTTTCTCTTTTCTTAATAAGTAAAAGTTGGTCAATTTGGTGTAGTGATTAAGACACCAAACTAGAAATCAAGTGACTGTGAGTTCTAATCCTGCCTCAGGCAGAAAGCCATCTGGGTAATCTTCAACCAATCCCTCTCTCTCAATCCAAGGAAAGAGACAATGGCAAAACACTTCCAGAAAAATCTTGCCAAGAAAACTGCAGGGACTTAAAATGTCCAGGCAGTTGCCAGAAATCAATGCTAACTTGAAGCCAGGAAAATAAAAGGTGGTCAAACTTTTTAAATACAATAGGATTCCACAAATAAAGTGCCATTCCTTTCTTAGAAAACTAATGGGATCAAGCTTTTAAAATTCTGTGCCACTATTCTCACCCCACCACCATCCACAGAAAATTGACAAAATAATGAATTACTGAAGACTCTTCATGTAAATTTATTTAATGTTTTTTATTTTAAAAGTACCTTAGAAAATTATCTTGAATGATATATTACACTAGCATGTTCAAAGTATAATACCAAAGATAAGTTTAGTCTTTTCATTAAAAGAATTAACCATACTAAATCAGAACTAGAAATACAAAAAGTTACACAAAATACAAAAGAAATAATATAAGCAAATATTTCAAATTATACAAGAGTTTATTATTGATACACATACTATCTGCTGTAAGCTTGCACTGCTCTCACTTAATGTAAGCTTCCATTTTTCTTTCAGTTGCTGTGACATTTTGAATGTGTAAGCATAATATTGGGCTCATGTCTGAACATTATTTTGCATTTAACACTATTATGGCAGTTGTTAATATTTCTTTCTGGATATTATTACTTCTTTTTGTTTCATTCCCCAAGAGAGATTATAAAACTAAAGTCATATGTTTTGAAAGGTCTTTTATTTAATGTTACATGACATTTCTTAGCATACAGATCTCAAAATATACAATATAAGTGCTTTAAAGAAAAAAATAATTATCTTGAGTGAAGAATACATTTTCAAAATATGAATGATTTCTAATTGCTACTGATACAGTATATTTTATAATACTGACAAAATGCAGTTTATTAATACAAATAACAGTATGCAATATAGTTAAATACTAATAACTTATAAGTTTCCTGCCCTGCTTCTCTGTCTCAGTAACCACTGCCTTCACCTGACATATCAACAACACACTCAAGGCAATTTTCATTCCCCAAATGCAAAAATGCCAACGTACACAGTACATAGACATTTTCCTGCTTAAAAGCCTTTCCTTCTTAGAAATCATTTAATTGAAGAGCTACTGCCACATATAAAAGGAGTGCATGTATTAAATAATCCTTCTCTACATGGAATGTACCAGTTTTAAGCTGTACATAGTCCAATATATTATGAGCTTCAATATATTTATCATATATTTAATGAAAAGATTAAATAATCGAAATGAGCCTTTCTGGAGTCAAAAACAATTTCCAGTCTGCTAATTTTAATTATGTTCATTATTTTATTATTAATGTGTATTGTAGCTTTATTCTTTACAGGAGATGAAGGAAGTGTATTCAGTGTGTATATTCATGTCTTGACATAAATTACCGTACATACATGTTAACATAAGCATAACAGAAGGAAAATTGGGATTTTTCTGTGTTTCCATTTCTAAATTTATATTTTAGACCATAGAGCAAATATCATATAGGGAGAATCATCAGGAAATCTCTCTTTTTTCACAATTCCCATTAGATCTTTTCTAAAGCTGCTTCTGAGGTCATTAAAAACAGCTATCAATCTTGAGTTATCATTTCTGTTGTTCTTTTAACAAGATACTGCAGCCATGGAGATAAGTTTCTAAAATATTTAATTATTTTAAAGTCATTAGGCAGTCCTGCTGTATCTAGCAGACTAACTGTAGGACTTAAGTAGCATGATTATCAAGCACCTTACCTAAAATGGACTAGCAGTAAGCCTGTGTGGCAAACTCAATTATTATGTCTTTACCATAAAATCATTTCTTAAAACCTTTAAAGTGATTTCATTGAATAATATCATTTTGTACAAATAAATATGCTTTAAGATAGGGAGATATATTACATTGTTGTTGTTTAAGCCTTGAAGAGTTCTAGAACAATTGGTCATCAATGCTACAAATCAGAAGCCAAGGAAAACAATTCTAAATTTGCTCATAGTCTATTCTTACCATGAAAATTTATTTCTGCTAAAAAGACTTATTTTAAGAAACAGAGTAGAAGAAATAAATGTACTAAAAATTCCCCCAGCTCCAATGAAATTAATGAAACAATTGATAAAATTATTTCAAAATCAGGATTATTTGTTTGGATAACTTTTAAAATCAAAACTGTCCTTGATCTTAAAAAAATGAAGATGTCTATGTTTTATATTTCTGTAGCACTCGTGTATTAATAGGAATTGATATATACTTTCAAAAGTGTTTAATCAGGAAGTCTGTAATTTTATAAAAACATGCTTCTCAGCTGCTTATCCATAAGGCCCATATTCATGGCCTTTGATTTCCAAATCCAAGAAATGTTCTGTTTTATTTCCTCCCAGTGCAAATACCAAAACATATTATTGAATTTGTATCACTTAAAGTTAAGAACAAAATATAAATTTACTGCTGGATCAGAGGAAAGAAATTAGGTATTACAAAAGAACAAAAACAAAATGTACTACTATGATATTCAAATAAAAGATTGGGGACTCAGGTCACAGACATTTTAAGGGTAAATCCAGATGGTTGATTTTTAACTGCTCTACATTCCAGCAAAGAACATCAAGTGGTACTTTGTGAATTCCAATTGTTTTTCTCCACATGACTGCAGACATGTACCAGATTGGTGCAGGGCTTCAGATTAAAAGGCATAAAAGTACCATTGAATGGAGATGGCCCACAGCATGTATTGGCAATTCCTTGTGAAAAAGCAATTGTTTAATTAGGGAAACCTTGTTTTGGTCATTACTCCTGGCAGCCTCAACCATCAATATTTGATGCTGTTGTAGTATATGTTTGATGTTGTCTCTCCACCTTCTTCTGAAGTCTGCCTCATGTTCTTTGGTCTTCCCCCTTTTTTTCTTGTCTTTAAAGTTTAGTTTCTTCCCTAAATACTTGGTATGCTTGCAGGGGGGGAAATGGTCAATTCCTCAACTTTGAGATCCTAGTAACTTTAAAGTGGTTGTTTGGGGTTTTTTTGACCATCTGTTTTCCATAGTCACATGATCAAAATTCAGGTGCTCCTCAACTGACAGTTGCACTGTCCCAGAATCAAGTGACCATCAGTCTGACCTTCCTAGTCAGCTTCTGACAAGCAAAGTCAATGGGAGAAGCCAGATTTGATTAACAACTTCATGATTCAGTGAACTACTCCAGTGATTTATTTAATGGTGGCAAAAAAATTGCTAAACTGAGGCAAAACTCACTTTTGCCGTGCTTGGCAACAGAAAGTTTGGGCTCAATTGTGGTCAAGAAATACCTGTACTCGACCTGTACTGCATCTCTAATTCATGCAGCTAAATATAAAATGTATTATTGTTCCTTCAGAACCTCAAAGTGGAATATATATTTTAATAAGACTCTCTCAAAGTTGCCATAAATTGTAATACTTATAATCTCAAAGTTAAGAAATTAGCATTTTTTTTCCTGCAAGTATACTAAGTTTTTAGGGAACAAACTAAACTTTAAAGACAAAAATACAAATCTCAGGATAGCAAACTTTTCACATCAATCCAAACTATTTTCCATAGCCCAGAATTATCATAAACCATTCCAATTCACTATCTTACATCTTTTGCTTTTCTTTATAAAAGAAAGCCAATTTCAATTTGGATATCAAATCCTTGTCACTAAAAAATTAGGCACCATATTTATAATAATGCTCCCTCTGGAGGTCCAATAGAAAGAGATCACTTACATCTTAAAATGAAAATAAATTGGTCAATAAATAAGAAACAATGGTCCATAAATAACAATCTCCCTTCCCTTACATCTATTCTGAATGTACATAAGAGAAAATGGCATGTGCTAAAATGTCTTTCTAATTTCTAATTAATAGGATTCCTTCTTCTAAATTAAGATTTGTAATTTGGTCCATTGTAGAAGACAACACTTTAAATATGGAATGAAATATGTAATCTATAGTTGTATGAAACCTACATATCATGGGCCAATAAATAAACAATAGAGAAAAATCAAAAACAATTTTGTGGTTTCATTACAAAGGAGAACTGGATTAATTCACTATAAATCATCATCCCTAATATTCTTATTGTCAGGAGGAAGAAAACAAAGTTCTAAATTATCTACATATGTTAACTTTACTATAAATGCAATTATTTTATTGTTAAGCATAAACAAAAGTAGAAAATTTTGAAGCTATTATAAAATATACATAGCATTTTATATTTATTGCCTTATTTATCATTCAAAGTCAAGGGACCTCCTTACTACTTTATTCAATCTTGGAACACATTTTACCCTCTGCAATATCAGAGCATGAATACATTTTAATAAAATCTTTCCTTTACTATTGCCCATCCATAAACATTGTAAGATGTAGAAACAGAATTATACTCACATCATACTTTGCAATTCTAGAATAAAGTTTGTTGATCTCCCAGACCCTCTTCCACTGCTAGCTGGAACAGCTGACATTGGGCTGGGTCCAGTACTGCTCATCTAAGTAAACAGCAGACAAGGACAACACATGAAATTTAGCAAAACCCCACAAACCTTCAGAGGTATTTGAACATATCAAACCTAACTGTGCTCCAACCAAAATTTTGCAATACTTTCTTCGCCATGTCTAAAATGTTCAGGACACATTTTATCACACAGGTAGGCAAAAATAATTCATACTATTATTAATGTGACTTCAATTCAGGCTTTATTTTGACCAACATCCTGCATAAAAACCTAAAAAAACTTTTAGTGCTAACCTAAAAGGAGTCAATATTTAATATATAAGTTGAATTATATTAGCTATACCATCGTACAGTAATTACTATGACTCTGATATAATTCAACTGGCCTTAAATTTTGATCCCTTTTTGACATCAATGTTAGATAAAATGTTAAATCAAATGTGTTAAGGATATATACATGCATTATTAACTTTAAAAATATATTATAAAATGCATCTTTTTTCTACATTTTTGAATTCTGAATTGTTTGTAGTCCAAATATCTGAAGTGAATATTAATCAGTAACAATTTTCTGAGTCCTTCCAATGAAATGTCAGAACTGAATTGGGATTTTCAGTGGTTATCAATTTGTGGAGCTTAAGAGATGATCCTTTCAACATTGTTTGTCTGGGGGCAAATATGCAGACATTAGGACTGCAATCTTCAAAAAAAATTATTCAGAGGAATTGCTATACACCTAGAACAAGCACAGCTCTTCTTGATCCCTTATAAGATTATTTTTCACTTTTTTTGATCCTGAAAAGGTATTGCTATTGAGTGGATCCCTTAAAGCAACAGTAATCTTTTTTTCAGCCTCACGTTTTTCTAGTTTCACTTTTTGACAGAATTCAGAAAAGCAAATAATATACACTTAGTACTGAATAAAAGTAAAACAAAATCCTACTAATTACTCTGTAAAACTTACAGAACTTGTTAATTTCTGGATCTAAAAGTAAAACCTCAAGGAAACAAAATATATAACAAAGAGTACATTAGATAGATCAGGCTCGATAGATATTCTCATATGAGAATATGAATTTTTGCAGTTTGTGTGTGTGCGTGTGTATAAGAACTCTTTTTAAAAAACTATTACTGTTATCTTTAAATATAATTTGGGGTTTCCTTAGAAAACATCTAGAAGTACTACAGCTCCATTACAAATTTACTTTTGTCCCTCTGAATTGTTTCAGAAAATACATTTTCAAATTAATATGTCCTATCCTACTCTAAGTATAGATAGATAGATAGACAGACAGACATAGATATAACAATATCCCCTCCCCCCCATATAAAATCAGAAAGTGTGATTGAGGTTTTTCTCTTAAAACCTGTCATTTTCAGGGGTCATTGCAATCAATTTCACACACTCACTTTTTCCCCTGCCTCTATTGGTTTTTAGAGGGGGGGGAGGAGGAGGAAGGAAGAAATGTTCTAATTCCTATATCCCCCTTCCCAGACTGATGAGTGTCAGCATTCACAATATTTTTGTTCAGTTTTAAATGCCTGAAAAGAGGGTTTATATGTGACGTGGCACCATTAACCTATCCTCAGTGTATCCCTAACAAGTTTAAACTCTTCCTTTGGGATAGATATTTTTCTTTTAACACAGAAAATGTTAAAATAATCATTTTAAAATGAACACCTTGGACTTTGGAGGCTTAACTGGCCATTCAAAGCAATCTATATCTCTACATTGGTATAAGATTACAAACACAAACTTCCATTAATAGCACCTCAGAAATGCTATTTTCCAATTCATTCTGCACTTTCCATGTGCAAATTCATGTTCCAACCATTTTCAAACAATTATTCGAAATTAAGGGTAAAACTTGAAAATCTCCAGCCACTTTAAAGGTGCTGCTGGGTATTCACTGCTGTTCATGTATCACAAATTACAAGGTTGGAAAGAACTTTGAAAATCATCTAATCCAAGTCCATATTCAGTTTGGAAATCTACAGTATCTCTAATACCTCCAGAAAAGAACAGTCTAGCATCTCTTGATATAATCTGTATCACTGGTAGTCAAACCATTAGTAAAAACCTAACATTCAACTAAAATCAACTTCTTTGTAATTTACAACTATTGTTTCTTATTCCATCTTCTGGAACAACTTTTAAAAGCTCATCCAACACTTGGAAGACCTCTATGATGTTTCCCCAGAATCATCTTCTCTCCAGACTAAACATATAAAACACCTCCAAGAATTCCTTCATGTTTTTCTTTTCAGGCCTCTTATCATTTTTTCTGCTTTTTCATGGTTATGCTCCAGTTAACCCTTGTCTTCCTAAAATGTGATACCCAGAATAGGATGCAATATTTTAGACATGGTCAACTACCAGGAAGGGGGGGGGGGCATTTCTTGACAAAGACATTTTCTCAATCCAGGCCCTGGATCCTCAGCTTAGTGACCGAAGTGCTAAGTGACCGAACTGCCATAAAAAATGTTGTAAAATATTACAGTTGTAACACAACTATCTGTATAGTAGTGTATTTCCAATTTTAGAACTTCATGATGCTAATTTATATTCACTTTGAAATCCAAGGCAACCAATGTTCTTTGCATATACGGCTGAGTATGGATCTTTCCCAATACATTTTCTACTCAATCCTTTGATGTTTTCTATCCAGTGTAGGACTTTGCATTCTATCAAAATTCATGTCGCTGTTTTCTACCCGTTTTAACCATTTGCCATAAAATGAGTAACAAGAAAACAAATTTCCCATGCAACTTCTAATCTTGAACTAGTATAGCGTAGAGTACTACTGTGGCTGCAACAGTACTAAAGGAAAACTGCTATAGTCCTTCACTCAATGTAAAACCCCAACAAAGCAGCTGCACACTTCTTCAAATATGCAGGGATACGATGGAGGGAAGGGTGGGTGAGTCGGCAACTGCACAAGCCCCTTGTGAATGGGAGTAGAATTATCTCAATGCTTTGTTAAAAAAAACAGCTGGATTATCTCGGAGATCTTGACCTTCTTGGTCATCCAGATGGAACCTTCAGGGGGGGATTGGCTTCACCTGTTCCAGTAAGAAGGCAAATCTTAAGATTTCTTCCTATCTCAAGAAGGAAAGCCCTCCCTTTAGGTTTGCTTTTTGGAAATGCTGGTGTTTCTCAGCTCCATTTTGAGGGCCGAAACAGAAAAACGAGTAGTTAAGAGACAGAAGCCACCGCTGCCACAGTTGGAGGCTGTAAGCAAGAAGACACCTCTACCCATGAGCCCCACGTGGCCGCCGGAGCCAGTGGCGCGGCGAAGCCGATGAGGACGGCGGGCTGCAGGTCAAGCATTTCCCCGTGTTCGAGCCAGCAAGCTGGTTAGCAAATTGGCAAAGATCCGCCGCCTGCACGTGACCTTTCCCGGCCCAGGAGAGCCACATGTTCGATGTCATGCATGCATGCTTATTCGGCATTTCATTCCACCTTTTCGTTCGTAAACCAGAGACGCGTTTCTTAACCTAAAGGGATCCGGCCAGAACGGGATTGGCTCGGTCCCGTTCCAAAAGGAAGCGCGCGGGCCCCTTCGGGACTTTCCCCGGGTCCTGACGGAGGGGGGGGGGGGTTCCGTTCTATCCCCGCCTCCGCGCACGCGGCCGCCTGGGCGGGCAGAGGCTCCCCCAACAGTACCTGAGCAGCCCTTTCGGCAGCAGCGGCGTCTCAGCGGGCGGGAAGAGCCATGGCGGCGCTTCCTGCGCGAGTCGCGGCGAAAGACGCGTCGCCTCTGATTCGTGGACCAGGCCGACAAACTGGCCACGCCAGGAGGCGCGCTTTCGGCCGATAGGGAAATTCGCCTCGGCTTTTCCCTGTACGTTTTTTGCACGATTTTATTTTATTTCGTGACCAGCGATTTCATTATTGCCCAAAAGCAAGGGGAGTTAATGTACTACAACAAAGCAGGGGAAAATTTTGCTTCCGTTTTGGTCAAAGTTTTCATTACTTGCCAAGATAACGTGGCCCGAGCGTGGGAAGTTCCATTCTCAAACTGCGAAGAACATGAAGTGTTTTATTGAGATGCGGAAAACATTTCATCAGACCACCCTGTACCGTTAAAAATAATTACTTCCCCCAGCCAAGATTTGTTAGACGGTTTAGATAATTAACTTGTTGCACATCAAAGTCACATCCTATGCATGTCTTATTTCCTTTCTTCCTAACATTAAAAAAAAACTGGCAAAAGCAGAAGCACTCAAATCAATTTTCTCCAATAAATCCGACTAACATGAAACTCAAAACCTACTGTAATATTCAATGGGTCAATGTACTGCAGTTGCTCTTTCTTTGAATCTAAATGCAGCTGCATGCCATATCCTGCAAAGTGAATTCAGATGTTCAGATGGAATAAGAGATTATTTCAACATGCTTTAGTTTATGCTTGAACCGTTAGATGAAGATAATATTTTATTAACACTATTTAAAACTAGCAATTATAAAGTTCTAGCTAAATCTTTGTGATATTTTGGGAATTCTGAAGTCTGTTCATAAAAATACTTTAAAAGAAAATAAAACATTGCATAAAAAGGGTTTTATTCATAGCTCTCTATATGAAAGCTTTCACACTCAGCAATTTAATATGTCATTTTGGACACCTCATAATAGTTTTATCTCCGGTTCAAAATAGCATTCTGATATTGTAGAGTTAAAACTAAATGTGATGGTATCTAGAATTTAATCTTCTCTAACCATACTTAACAAAATCAGGTTTCTGAAAATTTCTAAATGTTCATATGAATCCATACAGAACATAGGTACTACACTGCTTTTAATACTACTGGGTTCCAGTCACTCTTCATTCCTAAAGACTTTGTAGGCATATTTCTGTGCTGTAGTTTCTTTGGCAAAAATTTAAAAGTGACTTTTCATTATTACCAAGACCAAATCCTCTTCTTAACCCAAACTGGTTTAAAAATTCATGTTTACAGAGAATAATGTTAACAGCTTTATGTTTAAATGGAATGATGTTTGACAAAGGTACTTTAGATTATGTAGCCAGAATTTATGTGGTTGTAATAATGCTTTTGTTCAACATTAAGAATATTAATTTATATGAACTTTGTCAGCTTGGAAGTAACATCAAATAGACATATGATAGTAATAAAACTCATCTTTGGAAAAAGATGCATTTTTGTCCAATTCACTTTTTTAAAAATATTACTATATTAAAATTAAATATTTTTTTCCAAATCTCAAACTTAAGTTGTTTGGACTTAAATGCTTTGAAATTTTTTATAAGAACTTAAATCTTGTGTCAGCAGATGATTCTCTCTTTTTTATAAAAAATTGCCTCTTTAGACTTTTGTAAAAAAACCTGAAAAAAAACTTTTGGAAAAAAACTGAGAAAAAGTTGTGTATGCTTTAAGATTTAATCTGATGAAAACCTGAAAAAAAGCTACTTTAATCAATAACAAAGAAATCATTTCACACAAGCTCTGAAGCACTTCAGTAGAAAATCATTTGGCACTGCAACTAAACAAGACAGACACAGACTTCAATGGATAGTTAGAACTGCAGAAAAAAACAATTGTTACCAGCCTGCCTTCCATTGAGAACCTGTATACTGCATGAGCCAGAAAGAGGACTGTGAAAATAGCTACAGAGCTGTCACATCTTGGGCATAAATTGTTTCAAATTCTTCCCTCAAGACAATGCTTTAGGGCATTGCACACCAAAACAACTAGACACAAGGACAGGTTTTTCCCCCATGCCATCACTCTGCTAAACAACTAATTCCCACACCACTGTCAAACTACCTACCCTGTTTCCCTGAAAATAAGAGCTCCCCGGATAATAAGCCCAATCGGACTTATGAACGGATGCGCTAAAATAAACCCACCCTGAAAATAAGCCCTGCCCGAAAATATTGCAATGTAGCAACAGTCATGAGATGACCACACTCACCACCTTCTGCACCTCAAAAATAATAAGACCTCCCAAAAAATAAGGCCAAGCGCTTATTTCAGGGATCAAAAGAAAAAAGGACCCTGTCTTATTTTGGGGGGGAAATGGTAGTAGGGCTGTATTACTAATCCATCTCATCTTTCCTATTACCTACTCCTTATCTTCTTATGACTATAACTTTGTTGCTTGTATCTTACTATTTATATTGTTTTATTTAGTATCCTGGTATATGTATGTTGATTGTTTATTTAGTATCCTATAACTATCACTAAGTGTTCTATCTTATGATTTATGATGATGTATTTATGATTATATTCATGATTTATCACTTGTTGCTTGTGTGAGCACTGAGAGTTTATGCACCAGAGACAAATTCCTTGTTTGTCCAACCATTCTTGGCCAATAAAGTATGGTTGGACTACTCTACTCTACTCTACTCTATTCTAACACAGAATGTTTATAGTTTATCAAATCAGTACAGACTTTGTTATAACAGATACATGGACATGGTGGAAAAACACTAGTCTTTTATCCAGTAGTGGTTTAAGCCCTAACTTAAGAGATTCTTTCTGTGCTCATAAAGATTGAACCGATTACCTTTGATACATTGAAGGGAAAGCCCTTCTTGTCCCAGAACATACATAAAAGTAATAATTAGATCACCAATAATATTCTGCCTGGAAACTTGTTATTCTTTTGCTCTCTATTTTTTATGCAAATATTATGACTATGCCACAGTTTAATTTAAAGGCAAAAAAGATGTATTTTAGCAAATAGGCACAAATATGCTATCTCTCTGCAGCCTCTTAAACCAAACATTTTTTCCTCAAGATTTTTTGCAAAGGACAGTCATGAAATCTCAGGAAAGGCATGGCTGCTTTAAGGAGCTACAAAAACTGTTGTGTTTGTCTCTCTTTATGCTCTGAAACACCTTGCTTATTGGGAGAGCCACAGATATGACCTTGGATAAACAATGCAGCCACATGTACAAAAATATGTTTTAAATGTGGGAGAAAAGAAATTCAGGTTAAAAAGGAAGGGGAAACATTGTTACACTTTCAAGATTCTATTACTTTAGTCTACAGCAGGGGTGTCAAACTTGATTACATTGAAGCCTCATCAGTGTTGTGTTTGATCTCGGGGGTGGGGGCATGGCCAGGGTGGGTGTGGCCAGCTTGACATCACTGGATCCATTTTCACTGGCAGAGGGCTGCAGGAAGCCATTGCGCCTGAAAATGAAGCCTGGGAGAGCCATACATGGCTTCCCTGGGCTCCGTTTTCACTGGCAGAGGCACTGTGGGCCGGCCCTTCACTGTTTCCAGGGCAGCCACATGGGCCAGATCTAAGCACCCCGCGTGCCTTGAGTTTGACACCCCTGGTCTACAGGTAGTCCTCACATAATGGTAATTGGGGCTGGAAGTCATAAAAGCTGAAGTCATGACTGAGCCACTTAAGCAATGAACATCCTGACATTTCTGGTTGCCATCATTAGGCAAATTAGGTCATTAAGAGAGATTATCATATGGTTGCAATTTGTGAATTCCTGCCGTTTTCCCTTTTGACCTGTAGGAAGCCAGTGAAGAAGGTCACAAATGGCAATAACAGAGAGATGCTGTAATGTTGAAATTGCAAGGCAGGTAGTATGTGACACAGAGAGAGTGCAATTGACATATTTATAGGAACAGTCAAAAGTACTTACTCATAAGCTTGAATAGTTGCTGTACAAGTTATGATTAAAAGAGGACTGTCTGAATATCAGTAAAGTAGAACTCTTAACATTCATGTCCTGCCAGGTCTACCTTGAAAGTCTGTTAGCTTATCAGTCAGAAGTGTTAACAAGCAATAGCCTGTAGAACAGGCAGTCCCCAGATTAATGATGTCCAATTTATGGACCACACATACTTAAAAATACCATTACTAAAAATGGTGGACAGCATTCTCCTAGCTGACAAACCATTCAAGCTGGGCAATGTTTTTATGGCCTGCTAAAGGTGTGCATTTTTTAAATACATCCTGTTTTCAGTAGTTCATTAGCTCAAGGAAAAACAATGCCATTTGCCATTTCTAGTAATAGGCAGTCTATTTGCAAGTATACCCTGTAAATTCTGCCTTGAATAGAAATTTGACCTAAAGACAGACTTAGGAGTGGATCTCAATCTTCACTAGGGGACTGGCTGTATCCTCAGGATCTTTCCACTTTTCTCAAAATCTCAATGGCAATATTGCAAGCTCTACCCCTTTCAGCCACTTATATGATGTTACAATGCACAAAGAAAGAAGAAAAGACTTGTACCTCACTGCCTCCTTGGCCCCAGCAAATACAGCCTATTTTAATAAATTCAATGAGTCATTTTTCTTTCAATGTATCTGAAGTTAAAATCTGAACCTTCAAAATGCATGAAAAAAATAATGTACTAATTCTATTTAGCAAGAGATTTCATACACACTTTTACATTGAGAATATGAAACACATGCATGAAAATTAATCTGTGCAGTATTTTAAAAAGCCATTAACCAAAATCAGGAAATGAACATTCTCTAAATTCCACAAATGCATTAGAGGATGCATTTAGATTAGATTTAATTAGAGGATAAGGAGGGAAGAGAAAAACGTCTGCATTGTCATCACTGGCAAAATTACAATATTTTAAGTTTCATCCTAAACCATGCTGGTATTGCTATTTTGACCAACTGTCATCTTGACAACTCCCCCTTAGGCCATCTCTTGGGACAGTAAATTGAAAATAGTTTCATTTCAGAATTCTTGATTTCTGAAGTCAGCAAATATGGCTGCTCCTTCATAAATTGACAAAAGATC